TGAAGAAACACGCTCAATTTTTCAATAAAAGTAGCTTTTTTCGTTGTTTTTACTACCTCAGACGTCTCGAAATATACTCGTTCGATGCAGTGTGAAAAGCTGCGTCTAATGAGTATGTTTCGAAATGCCTGACGGAGTAAAAACAATGAAAAAAGCTACTTTTATTGAAAAAGTAAGTGTTGTTCTTCCACATGAAAAATATGAATTTTTTTCATGTTTTCTAAGATTTTTCAAATAGTTTTTTGAATTTTTTATCGCAAAAAAAGTGTCTTAAAAATTGTTTAATGTATACAGTTTTATAGAGCTCGACGAGCTCTATCGAACCGTGTAAAAATATTCAAGAAAAACATTTTACTCCATTCTTGAATCACTAGTACTTTAATTTTCCATCCCAAAAAAAGTATAAAATTTCTGAAAATTTATTAAGCTCGACATTAAAAGGTTTTCATAACCCTCACTATTTAATATCAATAAATCCCATTTTTAACGAGCTTTCATTTGATATAAAATTTATTATGTCTTCTATTTGAAATTATAGCGTTACCCCCCTGGAATAATATTTTTTCCAACCGTGTACATCCTTATTTTTTTGATAATGGATTAATTGACTAAAGAAGAAAAAAACATGTGTGAAGATTTTATAATCAAAAGTAATCTTCGCATAGATCATAATATCTTCAAAGATTGTTATTGTTCATAAGTAATAAAAAAAAAAAATCCAAACTATTTTTTTTCTGTTGTCAATAAATATCTTTCATAATACAATCTTTTACTAAATGTAGTATGGAAAATTATTTGAGAGTACTTTCAAAGTGAAATAAATTGTCTGAGATTTATTTTCATTATCTTCTTATTGATTCGGAGCAAAGCTATAAAACCTCCGACAATCTATTCTTGATTACATTTCTTTTCACAATATAAATACAATAAGTAAGGTAGTAGAAAAAAGTCTAACAACAATGTATTTTTTTTCTAATAATGTTAAGCATCTAGCTCAAATTCAAATAGTGATTTTAATAGCTGATACATTCTATACTAGATCAACTATGATAGCCAAGGTTTTCAAAAAACCAGATACGGTCGTTTTTAGGTCACAGAAGATTATTTTTGTTAACAATGCTATTTTAAAAAGCATGACATCATCGGCGGACCACTAGAAGGCAATTGTTACACCTAAAAAATTCTTAGTGACATGTATGTAGTCAAAACACACTTGAATATAAAATGCTACTATGAGTAATAAAAACACTTAAAAAAAATATAGCAAAAGAATTTTGTCTGAAGTAACTAAATTCATTCTAGAGAATAATTTCAAAATAATATAAATTATTTAAGATTTTGATAGACTATACTAGTCAACTAGTATGAATACGAACGAAATTTTTTGTCATTAAGACGAGTGAAAAAACTTATTTAAGAAAAGATTATTAGACTTAGTGGTATTGAATATTGAAAGAAATTTAAAAATTTTATATAGAGAAAATAAAATAGCAGAATTTATTGCAAAAAAAAAAATGAATTTTTAATATAAAGTCCTTGTATTATTTTTAAACACTTTTTTTTTAATAGTCATTTTTTTATTTGCTTCATTCCAACAATAGAAAAAAAAAACAAGTTTCATTTTTAATATGAGTGATTTATAGTCGTTGTGTATGACGTTACAAGGTTGAACATATGGCTTTCTTTTATAATAATAAGATATTACAATCAATTGCCACACATCAATATAAGACATTGGCTTGCCTATACATGAAATTAGAGATCAGCGTATTTTCTAACACTTTTAAGAGAAGGTCGTAGAGGATGTAACGACCACTCATTTCGTGTTTTTTAAAATAATATTGAAATAGAAAACCTTTCTTGGCTGTTAAAATCACTATTTAGATTTGAGTTAATTGCTCAATATTATTAAAAAAGAAATAATTGAATAATGGCCTAACGTAAGAAACAAAAAAAAAGAAATGAAAATTGTGTAGTTGATCTTCTATTAGTACTGTACTTATCATCAATTTTTCAAATAATTCTTCTGTAGAAAAAAAAAGATAAAAAAGTAAATAATTTTTTCTTTATTTTTCTTTTCATATACAACTGAATAAAACAAATAGAGGCAAAAGAAAACAAATGTCAATTAATAGAATCCATAAATATTTTATTTATAGACTTCATAAGTTACACTATACTAAATAAGGTTTCTGTTTATATACATATATATCATCAAGGTTATAGAAAAAAGATGACACATATGTACAATAATAATAATAATAATGATATAACTATCGATAAAATTTAAATTATTTTATATAAGTTCAATACATTGTAATTGTTGTGTACCATTTGCAATAATAACATGATTTTTTGAATGTATTGTTAAAGCACGTCCTATATGATATAATTGAACATATTCTTTTTTTCCATATTGATCAACAATCCATAAAATTTTTCCACCATTTGTTATAAAAAATAAACCATTATTATTATTAATACGTATTTCATGATCAATATCACATTCACCTAAACGTATTGTACATAATTCATGTAAATCAATACTATTACATAATGTTAATTGAAAAATTTTTCTATGTGAATGTATACTTGATATTGGTCGATATTGAAATAATGTTGCTAATATATTTGAATGTATACAAAATGATGTACTATT